CGATGGCATTATTGGACAGATGCAATGCATTTAATGTGCATCATTTCTGTCTGCTTATGCTCTGCAGGAGGGATTTGTTCCGTGTGTTTCTGCAGCCACACGCTATTCCCTCCATTTCAACTTTGTCAGCTTAGCTCACTTTGGCCTGAAACAGACGTTTGTGGGGTCAAGCTCCAAATCAATACCACTTGTACTACTTGTGGAGTCCAGTAGCATAGTGGTTAGCGTGCTTGCCTCGCATGTGAGAGGACTTGGGTTGGAGTCCCGGGCAGGGCAAAACCTTAGGCAAGTTTACTTACTCCACGTGACTCCGTTTTACCCAGTGGTAAGTAGGAACCTGGTTGTTAGTCAATCCGCAGATCGCTTTCCCGGGGTAATATTGCCTCCAAAAAAACTTAGTCACTCAATCCACAACTGTTTGCGGGACACAGCTGTGCACAATTGGCTGCTGCGTTTCGCCCCCAAAATACAGAGTCAATCCACTTTACAATATATTCTGTGAAGCTTTGAGATGTCTCAACAACGTAAAAAGGAGCTGTATCAAATGCAAGGATTATTATTTTTATTATTACTGTGTGCTTCTGGAATGCAGTATCTGGAATGTATATCATGGGTTATTTTAATCAATTGCTTTCTTATGCTTTTTCGTTAACTTTATTCTGTCTATATAATATTAGACCAAGATTCTGTGTGCAGTAGATTGAAGCAGACCACAAGGATGCCATTCACTGCAGAGTTGTGAGTTCCAGGGTTCTCATTGTCAAATTGGCAGCAGATTTCTGTTATCTCAGCACATCATGGTAAAAAGACAGATGCTGAACTGGAATGTGGAATCATGTGGATGTCAGTTTTTATTTTTTGGAATATAGCCAAGAAGAGCTGAACTAAATGGGTTTCTGTCACTCACAGCGGAGAAATATTTCCCCAAGTTAACAAATTATGCGACTTTCCCCATAATACTGACAGGTGGCGAGTGACCAACTGTTGTCTCTTACTAGGTGAAAAAAGCTTACTCACCTACTAATGATATGTATGCAGGGGAGGAGGGAGGGGAATAAGCTTGTTTGACTCCTGTTGTGTACGTCCGTTACCAATAAAAACATTGGGAGTGGTATGATCCACATGATGCACATGATTAGATGAATAAGTTATAGATTACTGTTGTAGGTGGAAAAATGGAAGAAATGTTCTATTTATATAGCATTTCAGGGCATCAAGAAATCGCCAGAATTTAGGAGACAGGCTAACTCGGTTGGCAGCACTCTCGTCCCTGAATAAGAAGGTGGTGGATTCAATTCATAGTGGATAAGACGCTAAAGATCCAATGGCACTCTTCAAAATGTGAAGGAAATTTTCACCAGTGTCCTCATAGAATCATAGAATTATACAGCGCAGAAGGAGGCCATTCGGCCCTTCGGGTCTGTGCCGGCTCTTTGAAAAGAGCTATCCAAATCAATCCCACTCCCCCGCTCTCTCCCCATAGCCCTGCAAACTTGTCCTCCCCAAATAATAATCTACTTCTCTTTTAAAACTTGTTATCGAATCGGCTTCCACCACCCTTTCAGACAATGATTTCCAGATCCGAACAACTCGTTGTGTGAAAAAATTTCTCCTCACCTCCTCTCTGTTTCTTTTAACAACTATTTCAAATTGGTGCCCTCAGGTTACTGACCCACCCACCAGTGGAAATCGTTTCTCCTTGTTCACCCTATCGAATCCACTCATAATTTTGAAAACTTCTATTAAGTCTCCTCTTACCCTACTCTACTTCAAGGAGAATATTTCTAGCTGCTCTAGCCTTTCCTGATAACTGAAGTCCCTCATTCCTGGTACCATCCTGGTATATCTCCTTTGCACCCTCTCCAATACCTTGACATCCTTCCTGAAGTGTAGTGCCCAGAACTGAATATATACTTTAGCTGAGGCCTAACCAGTCCTGGCAATAATTTATCAGATAAAATTTGTGATTCATTTCATGACTGTTTGTGGAACATTGTTGTGTGCAAATCAGCTGATGTATTTTCCTAAAAATACACAATCACTACACTGTATTGTAAATCCTGTGAAGTGCTCTAAGATGTTTGAACAACATGATACGTGCTCTTGCAAATGCAAGAATTGTTATTTATTATAAATTGAATACAGCTGGTTTACAAGCTGGTTTTCTGTAAGTTATTTTAAGAAATAAAAGAAAGTTTCTTCCCGAAGTCATTTTATGGTCTTGCTCTTTCCCTGACAGTAGAACAGTAAAATCCTGCACCACTCTTAATGGGTTGCTATTTTTCTCAATGCATCATAATGCCCTTTTGTTGACAAAACCCTGCCCAGAGTTATATTAATAATTCATTAATGGTATTGCAATATAACCACATAATGAAAACACAGAAAACCTTATTATTTACTCCTAAACATTTTACATTTTGTATTGTGCATTTTTGAAACATGGTCAGTATTGAAAACAGATCATATTGGTATAAACGTGCAATAGTACTGCTATTATAAATGCGTTCAGAATATATTACCCTGTGGTAAAATGCAAATTGGCAAACTATTTTAATAGGTATAGTGCAAGAAGAATATCTTTTAACCAGACTTCCATATTTCTAATTTTAAATATATATCTATTTGCATAAAATATACGGTCAATTCACTTTACAGTATATTCTGTGAAGCGCTTTGAGACGTCTAGAAGACGTGAAAAGCGCTATATCAAATGCAAGGATTATTATTATTATTATAAACAAAATGTGATTGTTTTCAATAACTTCATATACACATATACTTCATATTAGCATTAATTATAAACACAGACATGGTGTGGCATTCATTGCTCTGAGGAAAACCATGCATGTTTATTCACATGACTTCTTACAAAGAAAGAGATTTTTGTGGTAATGATAACATTGCAGGCATGTAGCCTTGCATGAATATAAGAAAAGTTGTGCACCAGCATTTCCTGATTTCCTAATCCCATCCAGTGATATTGAATGTTCTTGATTTCAGGTGGAATACTCATCTGTTCTATTAATTGTACCACTGTTCAGGTGATGCTGATCTCCTCCTGTTGTAAAAGGCGCTATACAAATGTAATTTGATGATGTTGTTGTTCAATATCTTCCCCTTTTTGGTACTCACCAATTCAGAATGTGACCTCAAGTGTTAAATGATTATATTATTATAATTTATAGTCCACAAAAGGCACCAAATTGTCTGTCTTCGCTAGAGAGGTTAAAAACGATGGCTCATTTGGGAAATAAGAAATGTCCTGCTGTGGCATAGGGGATGTTGGGGTTAAAAGACATTAAGGTAAAGGGAACGTTGCTTCTGGCATGGAAATGCTTGATGCTTGCTTAGCTCCAGACACAGAAGAATGTCCTGTTCCCCAGCATGATTCCCTTCATTTTTATAAGTACCAAAATCATATATATATATATATATATGTTTTTAAAAAGCCAATCCTTGAACACCTACATACCAGCGATCATAAAAGAGCAAAACTTTAGAAACTAGTTTTCAATACACAGCACTTCCTGAGGGACAGCAATCACACAGCCAAATGGAGAATGAATTGGCTCAGTAATACTTTTCATATGTTAGCGAAGAATGGCAACTCAAATTACTTCCAGCCCTGGTGAAATAAATAGTACATTATATGTATATTCCCTGATGCCTAAAATCTATTTGGCGTCCTTCCTGTTGTAATAGGTGGTCAAACATTGCATGAGATTCTGAAAGCTGACTCCCAGATTGCATGTAAACACAAAGGTTCAGACTGCAATGCACTGGAAAAGATGGGACATAATTGATGGCATAACAAGATTCCGATCAATCCTTATTCAATACCAACATCATTATGTTATAATAAAATAATTGTAGGTGCATTACTTTGATGCAAACCAAATGATTTCATATGTCCTGAGGAAACTCTCTTCTCTATTCCTCTGTCTTCCCACAATTGGCTTTCAGCCACTATGTCCCACAAATAGTTGTGGATTGAGTGATTAAATTATTATCATGTTTTTATATATGTATTTTTGAATCTTGTCAATTGCCACAAACATCAGCAGGATTTGTACAAATATTTACTTGAAAAGAAAAAGAATTGCAAGGCTATGGGGAAAGAGCTTTGGAGTGGGACTGAATGAATAGCTCTTTCAAAGAGCCGGCACAGGTATAATGGGTCGAATGGCCTCGTTTAGTGCTGCAGGATTCTATGATTCCATGTGGCAAAGGGTAGCCAAAGTCATCAAATAATTTAAGACCAGACTTAAATTGTTGCGCTGACACGCTCCATGCCCACTGTCAATGCCCTGTTTGTTCATTTGCTGCACTGTTTGTTTCAGTGAGTTAATTATTACTTATTTAACTTTTCACATGAGAATAAACAGGTGGTGTTTAGGAGCAAAAGCATTTAAATAGAGATTTTTTGTATTAACCTCTGGCTTTTCTGACTCAACTGTTCTTAAATGCATGTTTGGGTGTAACTTACGATATTTTCTGACAGGACTCCTTAATAAGGAATCCCACTGAACAAGTTAATTTTATCCTGCTGCTCGTGTATTGTTGCAATAGTAATTCAAGACATATTTCTTTGACCACGATTTTGGTCATCTTCCCCACTCTCTTGGTTCCCACCCCCTGGCTCAGGTGCCCATTCAACAGCATGAAGCGCTTTGACGTGACATGCACTGTATACATTGTACGACGACTACAAAAACAACAAAATTACATTTGGATAGCGCCTTTCACGTCAGGAGGATGTCCCAAGGAGTTGTATTGTATTGCCATCAGTCCGTGGGAACTCCTATCTGGAATTAGATCACTTTAGAGTGTAGGTTTAATGGGTGGGCAGTTACCACAAGGAGTCCAACTCGGATTTCCTGTTGAAGAATCCCTTATCAACTAAGATACAGTGCAAACTAGATCTCTACATTTCAAAATGGATTTAACAATAAAGAAGATCCAAAAAGCATTTTGCGAATGCAATACGATCTTTATTGCCAAACATCTTACAAGCTTGTTTTTAAGTGCCAGGGTTCACTAATGTAACTAGTGGTGGGCCTATTCTTCCAAAATAAAGTGCTCCCCTTGAGAAGACATACCCCTAAGCTATTTTTCCGAAGGAGCTATTGATCAGGTCAGGTAGGGGATGATGGTGAGGATGGATCATCCTTCTTTGGCGCCTTCTAGGAATTCTTTCTTCACAGCATCTGTAAGAGTTTTAATATCGCTTATGAGACCTTCCATTTTGACTCCCAATGCATCAATTCTGCCATTCACTATTTTAAAACCCTCATCGACCGTAGAAGGTAATTGATCCAGCTTTGGCTCCTTGCTACTTCCAGATGAATCTGCTTCGGCTGACATTTTGTTTTGGGAGAGTGTCTAGTTATTTCTGTTGTCTGGTTTCTCTGGCTGGGAGAGATGGTCTGAAATATCTACACAGTAAAACAAAGAGGCTTCAATAACAAGACATTACAAGAGCTACGAGTGGAACCACTGGAGAAGCACAGCACCTCAGCTCTCCACTAAAAGAGGCATCTCACAGAGTCCTTATAGAGGACTACAACAATAATAATTTATTCTTATACAGCAACATTCACTTAGGAATGTATTTGCATTTTGGTGAGCTAGGTGTCTTGATACAAGCTGAAATCGATCATCATGCTTAAGAGTATCCAAACGAGACTGAGAGTTCCACATATATCATTTCTTATTGGGAAATGTCTCAAAATGCTTCACAGAGAGTGAGAGAACCTCATATGTCACAATGCTGAACAGAATAAGATGCCGGATGGGAGGGAGAAGGTGAATTCAGAATCCATCCAACCCATGTTGTAATGGGCAGACAGTTGGATGGATATTATAGTATAATAATAATAATTCTTCCATTTGACATAGCGTCGTATCTTGTCTTCAAGACGTCTCAAAGGATTAAATTCTGGAATTGAATCCTTAATATTGTTATATTAAAGGATTCTATTCTGGAAGGATTAAATCAAAGGAGCTGAAAGGCTGTCTTTACTTATACATCTCTTGTTTTCTTGAGATAAAATCCCAACCATACGTTTGTATATTGAGGCACAGTAATTGGTTTCACTGCACAAGCGTGTAGTTGTCCTACTTGCGGGCCAGTTCCCACCCTAAAACAAACATGTCTGACTTCCGGGTCATTGGAAGTGATGTTGACAGTCCAACACCCAGTTTGCTGCATTTGTCGAAACAATGTCGGTGGCTATCTGATGACTCAGAAGTTGTCGAGAAGATAAAATGGCTGACTTCTGGCTCATTAGGTTGGTGGCGACATTTTCGTATGCACAGCAAATCAAGAAGTAATGGTGACACCCAAATAAACTGTCTGGTGTATAGGAAGTGAACATACCAGCCGCATACTGTGCAGTGAATGGGATCTGCAGTGCATCTATGTTATAACCAGGATGAAGGGTACAATAATGGGTACCTCGCTACACTGTAGTAGTAATCAGAGGCTCACCTAAGTCTTCCTTCTATTTGATTCACAATGTAAGATTGTTAATGCTGTGCCCAACATGAAATGGGTATCTTTACATAGATTTGATGGACTGTGCTGCATGGAAGTAAGCCATTCGACCTAATCAGTCCATGCTGTCTTATACTCCATATGAGTCTCTACCCACTCTTTATTCCCTCCCATATCTTTCTATTTTCTTCCCCCCTTATGCTCATTCAGTTCAAATGGACATTAAAAATCCTATGGCATTATTTGAAAAGTGAAGGGAATTTCTCCCAATGTCCTGGGAAGTAATCTCCCAAATTACAAAAAAGGTCACTCACTTCATAACTGTTTGTGGGACATTACAGTGAGCAATTCTGCTGCCATGTTCATTGACAGTTGACTGAAAAACTGTTGGAAGCACTTTGAGACAATTTGACATGATAACGTGCTAAATCAATATTTTATAGAGCGTATCATTATATATCTGTACCTCAGTGCAGAATTCTTTTTTTCTGAAGTTCTTCCCTGGTAACTACATTATTTGTTTGGCTGCATGGCTTCGATCTAGAAATAAAAATATATTGGGGTTAAAAAATATCCTGAAAAAAATCACAGGTAGGATACTTTTACGGTTGTCATCACCCATGAACACGGTTTTAAATTGTGCTTTTTGGGGGCTCATTTGCTTTCTCTCTCTCTTTCTTTCCAAAACATACTTTTCTTTTTTTCTCTCACACATTCTGTCTATTCCATTTACATTCTCAAGTTCAGCACTCCCTCTTTTCCCGTCACTCTCTAGATTGTTGTTCTCACATTTGGGCCATTTATTTGGTTGGACCTCTGCCAGCCTAAAGATGTTCTCTTTGGTCAGCCAGGTGTCTGATACATACATAAACCAATCAATATGCTTGAGTATCCAAATCAGACTGAGAATTCCACCTATATTTGCCATTTATATATCGAAATTTCTGTGTCTGGAATGCAATAGGCTCTCTCCATGGAGGGATACACTCCACCTGACTGAAACTGGAGAGTAAGAAGCAAAAATCTACTATATTTTACTTTTTTGTGCTTTGAATACTTTTATTTTCTATTGCGTTTAACACCAGCTGAAACAGTGTTATACTCGTTTCATTATAAAACAAAGCCTTGAGGTTGACATATCTTAATCACTGCAAATTTAGCAAGTGACAATCTAGAATTGATTAACAGTAAATAAGTCTATTGATAAGATTATTAGCGGTTTATTCAAAGATAAATTGTGTCCTATTTCAAGAGAGAAAAGTCAAGTCTCATTTCATCATTGCCAATGTCACAATGGCATTGTGAGTAAGTGACAGGATCACATGTGAGTGTTATGAACAGGAAGTGAATTCTCTTATTGCTTTGTGTGTCTGTATTCACAGAGCAAAATGACAAGAAAATACTTTTTCAACCACTTTTTTTTTGCTTTTTATTTCCCCTCCTGGAGGCACAACATTGTGCTGGTATATTGCTCAGCTCTGTGATTGTCCAAATATCTACATAATCCTGTTTATTTATATGCGAGTCAAGACAGAGTTTGTGTGTGTGTGTGTGTATGTTTTGACCACTGTGAGCATCACAGTCAAGCATGATCTTGCCCTCACCTGATGTCCAGACGTGCAAATGTTCCCGGCTATTGGGAGTGGGAACCTTAGCCCATCTTTCTCAATTCACGAGGTCGAATGCAGGCACTTTATTGCTCCCCCGCATGAGATCAGTGAACACAGCACAGATCAGAGATCAAATATATTTTGCACAGACAGTGATTTTACCAACTGAGCTGTTGGTGGGAGAGTTGCTAGCCAACAGTATTTTTAAGTCACAATACCCATTTAAGAGCGCAAGGGGGCAACTTTCATCACCATGATGTTCAGCCTGACCCACGATTATATTTATTTTAAGTTTAAAGTTGTTTTTTCAGCTGAGACACTGCATTTCCATTAGACTATTTTGGAAATAATATTGTGCTCCCAGCTTTGCATATCGCTTTTACTCTTTACAAAATGCCACTTGATTAATTTAGTCTTTTCATCCCAAGGTGGTCCCCAGCCATTTCTGCTTTGAAAAGACAAGTTAAAAATTAACCAGTGTACTATTGTACTAAATACCCAGGGAGAAGAAGCACAAAAACACATTTTGAGCATCCACTAGACTAAGGGAGAACATATGACTGGTTTGCAATAGAGTGACAACATCTTACAATGAATTATTTAAGTACAATATAATGCTCAGATTGATGAGCGTTTTTAGGATTTAGCTAACATTTGAAGCTGTGGAAAGTAAATGGATTTTGAAGTTAGAAATATTAGATTAAAGCTTTGTATGTTTCAGACCACTGGAAAGCCATCCTATAACACTGATAGGAATACTCCAGGCTCCAGTTTCAAGATAAACAGGACAAACTTGCACTGAGCACGAATCAACTACACACACAGATATTTTGTTCTCATTTTGTGGCATAAGATAAATTCTTAAAACAATTACCATTGCACCTGGCTCACCGGAGTAATCTTCCTCAAAATAGCACTTAGTGATGGCTTGTTGATGTCTTACCATTAGTTTCTTCATCTCCATTGGGAAAATGGCAATCACAAGCTGTTGTCATACTACCAATAAGTGACGTAAGTGGTAACTGACTTGCTCCTGGATCTCTTAGGTATGCCACTGTTTGCTAAATTCAAAACTAGATAGGATATGGGACTAGAATGGATTATGGCTTTGAGTTCTGAGGTTTAGTATTTTGAGGATTAAACTGCGCTGAAAACGTTTTAAATTTTAATGCCTCCACATCAAAGATACAGATGAGCAACACAAATTATTTTTGGTGCCCATTTTATATTCAAACAATTCCTGGATAGCAAGTAAAATAGGATTGTCTGGTTTTAAACCAAATGGATGGCAACTCTAGGTTAAATCCACCAGAATAAAACTCGTCATTCACGTCATGACTTTGTGGAATATTGCTGTGTGTAAATTGACTGCTGTGTTTGCCTACAAATACAGTTTACAGTAAAACAACGTCCTGTGAAGCATTTCAATGACTTGATGAAGAGTTGCATCAAACACAAGGGTTATTTAGATTTCTTAGAAAGTTAGCTGCGGGTAAAGAAGTACATTTTTATGAACAATACAAAAAAAGGAGCGTGGATTATTGGAGGGGAATTCATGGCATTGGAGTGATGATTCATTGTTATTCACCATACCATGTCAGTAACTGAATAATAGACCACTACTTAAGATATTACTTATAAAGCACTCTGAGACACCGTGCGCCGTGGAGGGCACTATATAAATTCAAGTTGTTGTGTTGTTGTTGTTGTAAGATGAAACTGATAACAAGCCAACTGTACTCAACGTGCATGAGGAACACAGCAATTTGCCCAACAGAAAGGATATTTGTCAGAATGTTGGAACTTATTGACTTTAATGGTATGAGTTTCTAATGGGGTAAATTAAAAGCCCATTATAAGAATGTGAATTCTTTCCAGCACCTTGGGACATCTTCCTAAGCCTGCCAACTTCTGCAAATTTGCCAAATGTCAGTATTTATGTGAATACCATTCATGGTTGTGAGATTACATATATGTATATTTCCAAATGTCCAACACAGTTCTATTCCAAAGAACACTGTGCCAAAATGACCTGTGCATTATCTGTGTATGATTGGTACACCACACATGTATTTATTCTATAACTGTACTGTAAGAAAGCCAAACATTATTTTACAAGAAGTACAAAGAATTGTATAGACTGTACAGCACTGAATTGCCTATTTGGCCCAACTAGTCCATGCCATTGTTTATACTCTGCAATAACCTTCGCTACTCCTAATCCTTTCTTCTCATTCCCCCTTCCCTAACCCTCTATTTTCTTCTCAATTGTGCTTATTTGTCAAAGCTATGTGTTAAAATGTCATCTTTAATTTGTAAGAACCATGGGAAACTGATTTCCAAATTAAAACTGAATTTAAAAATGTTCCACAAAATTGCACAATCTTAAATTTTAACACAACGTGTGGAATTTCAGACCTATCGATGTGGAATACAGATCACTGCTGGGAGAGGGTCAGAGGTACCTTCCCTCTGAACTCCCCACCCATCAATAAATTGTTGTTGTGGTCCTGTTGACAATTCATGAAGCTGAATTCAAGCACATATTTCACTTCTCTAGTCAGCGAACTCTTTGCACTCTTCATCTCATTGTTGCAGCCTCATGTGCTGTGACAAGTACTCAAAGCAGGAATTCATTTACTTTAGCTGTTGTCACTGTGTGTTTGACCACTGGCCACCCACATCAGGTCACTATCTAAGTTATTCATTTATTCCGGGACAAGATGAAGCAGTCAACAGTTTGGGTCCACAACCTCAACCCCCACTCAAACCCATCCACCACTCATCTGTAGAGAGGCTGTAAAGGAATAAAATGCTTAGAAACAGGTTGTTTTTTCTGCTTGTAGCGCACTGTTTAATGAAAGTTAGTCTTGATAACACAGATTATAACATGACGTGTTCGAGCTGAAGGTAAGAGAGCGGTCAAAATTCAAGCCATTTATCAAAGGTAAGCAAAAAGATAGGGTGATATCAGCATTTGTGCAAGATTTCACAGAAAAAGAGTTTCTTGAAAGCACTGATTATTCTTTCAATGATTTACCTCGATATTGATAAAGTCCAGGTGCCAGACTGAGATAGTTTTGGTGAGAAGCAACACAGTTGCAACATCAAATGATTACAATTCCCAATTCTTGCCTATGCCCTGCTTACTGCACTCACTGACTTAGGACTCCAGACAAACAGAAGCTGACTGAGAATTGGACACATGAATTTCACTGAACATTCATGCCTTGACCACTAAGCACCTGCACTATCTCTATACTGTATTGACATGTTAGCATGGAGAGTGCACTCGACCCACAATCAACATTCTTTAAAAGATGCTTTTTAAGCAGAAAGTACAGACAGGCAGAACTTCTTACAGCAAATTACAATTTCGTATGAACATTTTCTGACTTTTAACTGTTATTTTGTTACATCCCAGTTCGATCAAACTCTGTTAACTTTTGAGAGAGAGGATTATAACCCTTGACAAGATTACCCTCACCCCTTATAGAGAAAATTTGCCAAAATTTCATAGGTCTGCGATATTCTACTATTCCAAGATCGAAAAATTAACACATTGGAATAAGCAGATACACTTGTACAACACATGTGGTCTATCAGAATAAAACTCAAACCAACATAACATCGAATCAGTTAAAATATGCTAAGGTTTGGAGTGACATTTTTACCTTTCAAATCCTAGGATGAAAGTCGCCTTGGTGCAATGTGCAGCAATTAATATAAACAACTGTCACATGACAGCACAATGGTACACTGTGACCTCGCTTTGCGTACAGCCATAAACTTGATCACCACTATCCTGACTTTATATTGAACATATTTGTTCCTAGACTTACGCCCCAGCATCGTTCATCACTGACTCTTTCTCGTTTCTTTTCTAACAGCCTTGGTACCCAACACCCACAAACATTTCAAGAGAAGCCC